TACTTCGATTAAAGACATAAAACAGTGTCAATGAACAAAAGAAAAATGTTCTCCAACCGGTAAAAATCAATAAGGACCGACCGGTTCAGACCGATTATAAATCTGAATCAGTTTTTTTTTTAGCTCGGAACGGTTTCAATGTAACCCTTGATCATAGACAACGAAACTTAAGTATTTTTCTATTATAAATGATTCAACATGGTTTTCTAGTTTTGTTTTAGGCCTTGCTATAAAATTTGATAGAAAGAAAAACTTTGAAAGTCACGCCGAAATTTTATTTTTCAAGAAAAATCTATCTGTTGACGGATCAAGTTTGTTGCATCTATTTCGGTTCTCATTGTCGATTTCGTTTATTTCTAAGCGCTTTTTACCATTTATTCATTGTCATCAAATTTAATAGACCATTGATACCAACATTTTTTCTTCTTGATGAATGATAACAAGAAAAAAATAGTACGAACAACATTTATTTTATTCGAATTTCATGTGTACATGAAATTGTCTTTTAATGAAAGCAATTCAAACGTCGTATTCCTTTTTTTAATAATTTGACAAGTTTTTCTCGAAATATTGTACCCGTTACTGTATACAAGTAAAATGGTATGCAATTAGGTCCAAATGTAAGAAGAAGAACAAAGCGGAAAATAAGACTTTCGAGTGCTCGTTGAATTGCTGATTTTGTTTGATAAAATGTATAAGTCAAATAAAATTTTTCTCCTGCTTGTGGTAAAGTAAATATAGTCAATAGAATAACTTGTGCAAATAACATTGCAGTTAAACTTCCTTCGTCTTTTCTGTTTCGTCTAGTATTAATATTATTATTATTATTATTATTATTACCCATACTAATTGAAAAATGTCCTATTCGTTGAACTTGTCGAACATTCCTAATAGTAAATAAGCCAATAACCAGCATAACTGTCGATGGAATGATGGTTGTAATAAGTGATTGAGCAAGGTCATTATAAATACGGCATGCATCAGATTTAGCATAACATTTTTCAGGTGTACCAACCAAATTAGCATCAAAACAGTAGGCAACTTCGACCCAAACTAAAGCTGAAATAATACCAATAATTAAAATCGATAGATAAGCATTCTTCAAATTGCTCATTCGACGTCGATTGACATTAGGATTTGAAATCAAATAACGGTCCACACTAGCGAGAGTTAAAAGCCATGATGAAATAGTACGCATTGTAAAAATAACAACAAGACGCAATTTACATAATGTAGACACTGTATCTGTTCGATCTGGTATTATAGAAAAAAATTGAAATGTACGTGGTGCAAGTCCCGAGAAAATAATAATTAAATTTAATATACTAGCCACAAGAAAATAGATGACACATGGTTTTGACCGAAGTGATCGTTGTGCAAATACCAAACAATTGAGTAAATTACCGATCAAGCCAAAAACAAGGATAACACCTGACATATATAGTGACAATTGATCCGAAATATATTGAAGCTTAGCAATGTACGATATTGTTGCATTTGTACTTGACATTTTCAATATTTAATTTTTTCTGGATAGTTAGAATGGCTGTTTTTAATGAATGTAATACTGCAAATAGACTTGAAAAATGAAAATGATCTGTATGTAAACACTTGGCGTGACAAGAGTGTACTAATTAATATCTCTTATACTTTCTTCAATTCTAGATTTTTTTTTTCTTAGATATTTTTATCGGAATAGAATAATCAGTAGAATGACAACCATCTGATACACTTAAAAGCTGACTACGAGCGTTTTTTCTTGTAGCTGCTGTCTCTTTTCTAATAGATCAAACGAACTGCTTAAAAATTTGTAGATGATAATTACTAGCGGCAGCAATTTCTAATTACTAATATTCTTTCATACTGACAAGATATCATAATTAATAATTTCAGATCATAATTAATCAGACTTTCATCAAAACGACGATGTTGTAAAGAAAAAAGATGACTACTTGGTTTTAAATGCAACTGATAATGGAAATGACTTTTGTAGGAGTTATATTTGAAAAGTGTGCATCATATCTTCAAACATCTCGGCATGCTCAATTACTTAACATATTAATGGCCAATATTCTTCAATATTATCTTTCTTAAAAATTTTTGTTTAGAATCGATCGAAAAAACTATTTTTATTGTTAACAATAATTTAAGTGAAACCAGAAAACTGTCATCAATCATTATTTCGATCACAATACGTGCATCACGCTTATTAGGTCATGAGGAACAGACATTATCCATGAGGTTTGGTAAAAAATAACGACTTTTTAGGTTGTCACTGGCATTTTGTCCTTTTCTTTGTGTTCACTTATTGGTTTGAGTGTGAACGTGTTTCAAAAGATGCAGAAATATTTTCTCTACAAATCCGGCTAACACAATAGCTTTTAAAATACCATTACTAAATGATAATGCTAGTATACAAACAAAAAGGATAGTCGAGTGTTAGCTCAATTTTCTAATATTTTGCCTCTAATCACAATGAATTATTTTGTCTCAATAATAATTTTTATATTTTCTAAACGTCCTTGGGGTTCTGCATCGTTTGATGCATTGTTTCAAAAGGCTGAAATTCTGGTAGGAAAAGTTAATCCATACCACAAATGTTAATAGATGATGCTCATCAGAGCTCCTGGTCTGGTTTAATGTCTTGTAGGTGCCTGTTAAGTCATCTGGTCAGATCAGACTGAATTACGTTTTGGAAATCTAATGTGGATGCCTTGCCTTATTCTTGTATTGACTAGCAAAAGAATATGTTAAGATCCAAAATAATTGGATAGTAAGTTTAGCGCATATACTGTGGGTGTGGGTGTGTGTGTCAGAAGGTATGAGTGTAACATTTGCGTTTTCACTAAGATGCAGACCTACACCCACACCCAAAGTCGAAGAAATTTTTCATCGACTGATGCAAGTTTCGTGACCTGGTAAATTAATCAAGAGAAGCTTGAATAGATTTTCAGTGTTTCGCATTATGATTTCGAAGGATTCTGCCTTTTTTTCTGGTTTAATTTGAGTCTACGAGTCATTACCGAGGAGACAAAGATCTATTCAGTCGATAACCCACAGGTTTCGATATTGATTGATATATATATATTATGCTGTAGGAAATAGTATTGTGCAACCGAGTCGCATAGTTGGTGCCCGACTCGATCCGAAACATGGATCCGGATGCAAATTCACCGAGTCGAATCGACTACTGATTATAAAAAAAGATTGCCGAGACAGCTGCAGATTTGAGATTGTTACCCGACACCTTACCCGACAACATATGAGATCTCAACATTTCAAAATATTTTCATTTTTTCAAATTGCAATTTATATAAAGGCATAGGACTGAAAACTGGTTTGATGATGATCGAGCGACTTACCGTACTTCAGAACAGGTCACAGAAGAGAAAAGCGATATTGTCTTACTAAGAGAATTTTTTTATTTTACTGAATATTCATCTACAGATGATGAGGAACCATACGAAGACACTGAGTGAATTTTGAATCACTTGATTTACTTGTCTTTTTGTGAAACTTGAGATGATCTCTTTTTTCTTGTTGCTATTCATGGAAGAAATTGAACAGTATCATTTTTCATATAAAGTAAAACTCTTAAAACTGTACTATGATTGTGAAAAGTATCTGTCGGATGTCGGTTAGCTTCGATTTGAATCGAGCCTGGATATAAAAGAATCATTGTTGACTCGAGTCTGATGGCGAAAAATCGTATCCACTCTATACACTAATGGAAAACGAATGTGTCAGAACTATAATAGATTTACAATGATCGATCATCTATTTTCGAAAAGTTTGAAGAGTTGTTACGCATTCTGAGCACTACAGATCGTCTGTTCAGAAAGAGTAGTGTGACCGATCGATAACCCGCCAAATTTTTCATAAATTGATGCATCGTTGGTGTGTCGACCAACAAGAAGAGAGGTTGTGGAAAGGATTTATCATACTTCCTCTTCGGATTATGTAGGACTTTTCGCAGATTTTTAAGCTTTTAATATTGACTGATCGTTTTATAAGAGAGAAGAAGATTTTCCATGGACCACCAATAAGATTTTACATCGATTCATGCTTCGGCGAACGGTTAAGGACGTGGAAATGTTGGTGGGATGAGTATGGTCATGACACAAATAAGATGATTAATATTTTTTGTTATTACTTTCGCTTTTAGTAGTGTTTGTCCAGAGGTCAATCTTTGCATTGAATATGTTTGTAGATTGTCTATCTACATGCATCAGTTACAAGCGCTGATAAATAGTGAGACGTAGAGAACTGAAAATGTCTAATGTTGACGTCTTCGTCTATATGCAGCCTCTCTAAAAAAAATTAGTGGTTGGTTTTCACAAGGCTGACAACACAATTACTAACACGATCGTAGTGGTGGATTCTTTTATGGTAACTTGATACGGAGAATTAGAATCGATTAATCGAGACTTTGTGTCGATATTCAAAAGGTCTACTGTCTGTACTGTTTTATTCATCAAATAATAATGGTTTTCCAATGACTCCAACATATGTTTTTCAGTCACACACAAGATGTGAAAGTTCAAGCTCGAATGAACACGGGGGGCAAGATATATGATAGATGAAGATTTTCAATCGAAGACGTTGAAAAATATCTTGAATCAGCAATTCTTTATCAAAATGCAACTGATCTTCTTCAGAAACGTGAAGAATATGCGGTTGTTGAAGATTACTTTGAATCATAATTTACTCAAATGTTGATTCGTGGAAAGAAACCATCGTTTTCTAATCAAGTAGAAGCATGTAGAAAGTTCGATCAAGAAGATTATATCAGTATACATCTTATAACAACTGAAACATCTCATCGACACTTTCTGCAAAAATAAATTAATGAAGATGATGCTAAAGCATATGCATTTGCTATAGCATTTTATACAGGTGCATATAGTGAAATGTTCAGCCGCAGTGCAACTATCTTCACTCGACGATGATAACGAAACAAAGCAACAAATGCAGAAAATGTACAAGTTAATGATAATGCTGCTTTGATTATGTATTATCTTATTAAATGTCTTTCATATATTAATTCCTATTGGGATCGAGTTGTGCGATATGTTAAGTTGAGTGAAAATGATCTTAAAGATTATTAGCCCGGTGAAATTCTTACATGGTTTCAATTTAGCAATTCTGAAAAAAGCGATGATAACAATCCTAAATATCTTAAATATTATAAAGAATGTAATATTAAATTTATCATTCATTGACTGACTGGCCGAAGTATACCAGATTTTTCTAATTGTGCTAAAGATGAAGATGAAGTTCTTTCTTTTACCTCATCCCACATGTCTCGTGTGTCATACTGAAGTTAAAGACAGAAAAAACATTATTTATATGAGACAGATAAACTGATCTATTTAATTCTAATATTTAAAAGAAATAATTATTATAGATTGAACTTGGTCTTTGCAAATACGTTGCATTATGGATTGATGATCATATATTTCATGAATGACAGGAAAATAAAGAACATATGAAAAAATCAAGTACTCTTAATACTCAAGTTAATGTTAGTTTCATTCCAAAGTCTACAACTGAAGGTGCCTTGGCCTTTCTTCGATCCGAAATTGGAAAACGATTAAAAGGTAGTGATAAATGTCGTACTGTCACTGATATGAATCGAGATAATGAGAGTTCGCCAAATGATGCTGATGTTCGTCTACTTTTTCAAATGCGAAAGTTTAGATTTCACCAAAAATGCCTTAGGGTGTGGGTGTAGGTATGGGTTGAGAGAAAAACATCCACACCCACACCCACATACTTTAAATACAGAATCATAATAGATAAGCTGCTGATCTTATTTAGTAGTTACACATAATTTTTTATTACATTTCACTCTTTCAGATCAATTTTTAGATGCTCAGCTGTAGTTATCCTATAGCTCACTTAGATAAACATAAAGGTGCACTCAAGTCTTGATCTCCGCAGGGAATCAGAAGGGTTTTAAGTTCAATGGCACTTTCAATAAACAAATACATTCGAAAGCGTTACAGATACAGAGGTTCAGGAATCAATGAAGACGACTTACTATGCTCCAGATGTTATATATCGGAAGAACGCCGAGTGTCGAATACTTCTGGGTGGGGTGTGGGGTGTGAGGTGTAGAATGTTGATGCGGGTATAGTTAAAGAGAAGATTTTCATCTCATACCCACGTACCGGAAACCCGTACACGCGCCCACTCTCACACCCACACCCCCAATTTTATTTTGAAAAGCCCACAATATTCTTTTAAACTAGCAATCCAGGATCCATTTATATGATGATTTGGCATAACTGTGTCTTTGCTGATATTGAAATGTGAGCTTTGATATTTTGATCAGAAATAGTACTTATACGGATGTATGCAGAGAAAAAATTTGAGCAAAATATCTCATGTAGTTTTGGAGAAAATCGCCCATTAGGACCGGGATTTTTCGAAGATTCTGACCTTCTTTCAGCTCATATCTCGAAAACGATAGTTTCCATATGATTCAGGTTAATGACACGGTAACTGGAATCGATCTTTCTACATTTGAACATTAAAACGATTTCTATAACGCTTATGTTGAGTTGGCAGTAACCATACGAAATTCCTAAGTAACTATGAAATTTTCTTTTTTTGTGAATGACAAATCATCGTGAAATTTCACGATAGAGACTTGAAAATTACTCCATGTATATAACGTTGAGTGCTCCACCCAATGGTGATGTCAGAAGTTTTGTAACATGTTTCATTAGAATAAAATAAAATAAAGGATTTTCGAGGGGGATTTTTGATAAAACTCGGCTTTGTCAGCTCGGTTTCCAGCCCAACCGCACGGTCTTAATCAAAACAAAATATAGATTCTTACACAACTTGACAAGCTCTACACAACCGATATACTAAGAAATTGCCGACTGAATGTCGATATAGATTTGGGAGACCCTGCTTCGAAGCATCCATATGCTGTTAATCAGACTTCGTCGTGCATGATATTAAAATTAAAATACTTTTTTTTCTGGATAAGGGTGCGGATGTGTACGAGTGTTCTCTTAGTCTAGTCACACCTACATGTACATTCTCACCCACATGCACGCACACAGACCTTTTCAAGCTTTGACGTTTCAGCTATTCCAGTATTCAATCATTCCATTATTGACATCTAGTGTGCTGTTGTGTGCGTCTGTCAGCCACAGCTCCACGGCACCCACACCCCAAGCTTACGAAACCTGAAATAGTTGAAACTTGAATAGTTGAAAAGTCGAATTGTCGTTATGTGAAAGCTTGAACAGCTAAATGGTTTAATAGTTGAATACTTGAATCGTTGAATGCTTGAATAGCCGAGTTGTTGTTACTTGAAAACTGGAATAGTTGAATAGTAGAATGGGTTAATAGTTGAGTATTTGAATCGTCGAATGCTTGAATAGTGAAATAGTTGAATACTTGAATCGTTGAATGCTTGAATAGTTGGATGCTTGAATACATGGTTGCTTGAATAGTGGATATTCAAGTTTTCAAGTTTCAAGTATCCAATAATTGAATTTAAGTTTCAAGTCTGACATGTATTATGTGACCGGACAAAGTGGTATATAAAAGTCATGAGCAGCATCAAACACATCTAGTTACTTGACATCCACGCATCCTTATCAAAAACAATAACACAAAGAGATGTGCAGCCAACATTGATTTTTCTTCTGATAGCATCTGTCGTCGGTGCAGTTCAGTCACAAACATGGGTCGGTACTTACACGGCCAATTCGTCGTGTAGCACATCATCTTGCTGCTGTTTAAGCGGAAACGTGGTAATGACAGACACTTTGTTTGGTACCTATTCAGTTAAGTCCAGTGTGAGTAGCAGATGTGGTGGTTCTACCACATTCTCAGGTACTGCTCGTACAAATGGCTATAAGGGGTGGGTTTTGATAGGGGGCGAC